TGGGTCATCAAAATCACCTGAAAAACTTTTTTTTTTTTTTTTAACTTATAGGTCTGATTCCATAGATTTGATTTAGGGTATGGGAATCAATATTTTAAAGTTCCTCTTACACAATGGGATAAAATATTTCCAAATCATATATCCGAAAAAGGTCTAGTATCAAGAATAAAGAATTCTTAGAACTCAACAACAACATGACAAATAACCCTACTTAAAAATGGGCAATGGATTTAGACATTTCTCTAAAGATGTATAAATGGACAATAAGCACATGGAAAGATGCTGAACATCATTAGGCATTGGGGAAATGCAAATCAAAACCACAGTGAGATACCGCTTCATCCCCACTAGGATGGCCGTAATCAAAAATATGGACAATGACAAGTGTTGGCAAGAATGTGGCGAAACATACTTGCTCATACATTCCACCGCATACATTGCTGATGGGAATGTAAAATGGTACACTTACTGTAGAAACAGCGTGGCAGTTTTTCAAAAAGTCAAACCTATGACCCAGCAATTCCACTCCTAGGCATATACTAAAGAGAAATGAAAACATGTTCATACAAAAACTTGTGCATAAATATTTATAGCAGCACAATAATAACCAAAGAGGGGAAACTCAATGTCCATCAATAAATAAATGTGTGTGTTTTTATGTGTATATGTGGATATTATTTAGCCATAAAAAGGAGTGAAATACTGATACATTCTATAACATGGATGAACCTTTAAAACAGGCTAAATGAAAGAAGACACAAAGAATCACATACTTTATGATTTTATATACAATCAGCCTTCTGAATCCATGGGTTCCGCATACACAGTTTCAACCAACCAAGGATTTAAAATATTAACAAAAAATGTTACGTTATTGCCGATGAGTACTATATAGTTAGGCCTGTGTTGGTTGATGGTTGCATCTGTACTGAACATGTACAGACTTTTTTTCCTTGTCACTATTTCCTAATCAATATTGTATAACAACTATTTACATAACATTTACATTGTATTAGGTATTATAAGTAATCTAGAGATTATTTAAAGTATTCAGAGGGATGTGTGTAGGTTATATGCAAATATTATGCTATTTTATATAAGAGACTTTAGCATCCACATTCTGGTATTAGCTGGGGGGGTCCTGGAACCAACCCCCTGCATGTGCCAAGGGATGACTGTATATGAAATGTCCAGAATAGGCAAATACGTAGAGACAAGATTAGCAGTTGAGAGCAGGGGAATGGAGAGTGACAGCTGATGAGTTTGGGTAATAAATGTTCTGGAATTAGATAGTGGTAATGGTTGTGAATTTTGTGAATATACTAAAAACTGCTGAATTTTGCACTTTAAAATGGTAACATTTATGGTATGTGAATTATATCTCAAGTTGTTTTTTTTTTTTTCAAGTTCCCCAGGTGATTCTGACAGCCAGGTTTGGCAACCCCTAGAGTTAGGGCCAGCTTCATGGGCATGTGACCTGTGCAGTCTCACAGTGCCCCACACTTAAACCTATGCTTGTTTTAACACTCTACTATTGTGGTCTTGAAGTTCTTAGTTTTGTTTAAATCATGTAAGTTTAAGGTGTACAACCTGATGATCTGTCATCTGTTTATATTGCAAAATGATTACCACAGTAAGGTTAGTTAACACATCACCTCATATAGTTACAATTTGTGTGTTTTTGTGTGTATGTGTGTGTGTGGTAACTTTTAAGGTCTCTCAGCATCTTTCAAATATTCATTGCAGTATAGTTAACTGTAATCACCATGCTGTATATTACAGGCCCAGGACTTATTCATCTATATAACTTTATACCCTTGACCTTCACCCATTTCCCCTACCCTCACCCCTAGGAACCACTAATCTTCTCTCGGTTTCTGAGTTTAATTTTTTTTCAAATTTGTTTTTCCCTGTCTGATTTATTTCACTTAGCATAATGACCTCTAAGTTTCGTCTGTGTTGTTGCAAGTGGCAGTATTTCCTTTTTGATGGCTGAGTGACATTTTATATATATGTACATCATATATAATATGTACACAATATATATATCATTTTATACATTTATTTATCAGGGGACACTTAGGTTTTTTCCATGTCTTGGCTTTTGTAAATAATGCTGCAGTGAACATGGGGATACAGGAGTCTGTTCGAGATAATGCTTTCAGTTTCTTCGGATATATACCCAGAAGTGTAATTACTGGATCATATTTTTAATTTTTGAAGAACATCCATACTGTTTCTCACAGTAATTGTACCAATTTGTATTCTCACCCATAGTACACAGGGGTTTCCTTTTCTCTACATCCTTGCTAGCACTGATCTCTTTTTGATAATAGCCATTTCATAGATGTGAAGTGATATCTCATTATGGTTTTAATTTGATTCATTGTTCCTTGATGATTAATGATGTTGAGTATCTTTTCAGGTATACCTCTTGGCCATTTTAATAGTATCTTTGGGAAAATATCTATTCACGTTTTTTCCCCATTTTTAATCTTTTTTTTTTTTTTGCTATTGTATGAATTTCTAGATTGTATGAATTTCTTATGTATTTTTGATATAATCCCTTATCAGATATGTAGTTTCTCTCATTCCTTAGGTTGTCTTTTCATTTCGTTGATTGCTTCTTTTTCTGTGCAGAAGGTTTTTAGTTTAACATAACACCACTTACTGATTTTTGCTTTCGTTGCTTGTGCTTTTGGTGTCATATCGAAAAAAATTATTGCCAAGACCAGTATCAAGGAACTTTTTCTCTGTTTTCTTTTCGGAGTTTTATGGTTTAGGGTTTTACATTTAAGTCTTTAATCCATTTTGAGTTAATTTTTGTGAGTGGTGTAAGATAGGGGTCCAATTTCATTACTATGTATGTGAAAATCCAGTTTTCTCGGCACCATTTATTCAAGAAACTATCTTTTCCCCATTGAGTATTCTTGG